TCACTCCTGAAGAGATGGCATCAGTGATTGACTCAAAGGATAAAAGAAGGTTGTTGACTTCTTCGGCAAAAATTTCCTCGAAAATTGATTGATATGAAAAAATTTAGAAATGACTTAAAAAAGGTCTCCATTTTGTCGCAGGAGTTATTTGCCAACCTAATATAATCTGCAAATCAAATTTTGCATGAGTCGAGATCCCTATGCTCAACCCTTTTGTCATAGAGCAGCTTTCACACAGCTACAGACCCCTTTTTTAGAAGTTGTGCTGGATTGATCAAGGTTTTGTCGCGGAGGCGGACTTGACTGGGACATTGCCACCGCTGCCAGTTTTATCCGCTGAACAGAAATGCTTTCGTTCAATTCAGTGGCCTCCCGAGACTAGTTTGATCCACAAAACTCCAATATCAGCCCCATTATGGGCGCAATAAAATTTCATGCCTCCAAGGAGAAAAGTCAGGCCTTAATTTTGGAAAGCTGGGCATCTCAGGGTAAATCCTACCCATCATAGTGGTTGCACTCGTGTTTTTCAGTTACTCCGACAAGAACACCGGACTTCAAGGGCAAAATCGTACCTCTACAGCCCGTCGTACATCATTCATTGGCAAAGTGCCGAGTGGTACAAGTCTGTCCGGTGCCACCTGACATTGTGCCAAGAGGTCGTCATTGACGAAACGGCTAACTTCTTCGGTGTCTTCAGGCTTTCCCTTAAATGAATGAGTCAACTCTCACAACTTTAAGAGCAGAAGCATCATCTTGACGAAGCTCAGAGGAAAAGCGGAAGGGATAGACATAGAAAAGAGAATGAGAAATGGGTTAAGCGATAAAAAGGAAGGAATCGAAAGGACCACCCGGTGAACAATCAATAATTCATCGATTATTTTCGAGAAACGGGGCTCACCCAGTAACTGAACATGACGGGTACGGTACTAAGGCATTGCACATTCACTTTGGCTGTATCCATGTCTCGCAGACGTGCGGATGTGTCAAAACAATTCGGTTCGACTACCCTGAAACAAACTTCTCAAAAGGTTCAACAGTAACGGAGACTAACTAACTAAACCACTTCCTGTGAGAAGAAAGCGGGATAGTTCCAAGCAATTACTCAGAACGCATACGGCCATGGATCAAATTCCAAATTTCTACGGCTCAGGCCAAATGGGCCTCATACTTCGATCATTATGAGAACTCCAACAACGTCAAAAAACTTCAGTCCGTTCCNTCGCGGGAGAGAGACGTCGCACGCGAAGGAATGTAGCAGAATGCAGCAGCAAGTATGAAATTCAGGAACAAAAGGATTCACAGAAGAATCATGCCATAAGTAATAATCGCATAACGATTGAGATGTATCAAGAACGCTAGAACTGTTATAACAGGCAAATAACCCGCGACAGCCGCGGGCGGCGAATCAATTCCAGAAAACCGTTTTTGCTGCCCATCTCCCTTTGACCCTGGCAGGATGGTGATGGGCAGTGGCGGTGGTGCTATAACCATGGGGATAAGCATTCCAGTTATCCAGAGTAGCCGAGCCTTCCTTCCATTTCAAGTACACTGATGGGAATCAGACTCACTTAAGGGAGCGACCTAATCTGAAGCTTCGGCTTTCTAAGCTTAATCAAATGCCGTCATATACGGTGAATGCTTGGATCACTCTGCAATGGTGAAGTCATTGATACCAAAATCATTGTCTTTTACCTATTATACAAATCTCCTGCAGTAATATTTTGGCCAACGCAAAAAGGCCATCCCGTCCTGTTCCCTTGAAGTAGAAATTCGAATACGTTTAGTATCAGAAAGAAAAACGTTTTATAGCATGGGAGAATGAAATGCGACACTACAGCAGTTCTTCACTTCATTGATGCCTCCTATCACTGTCTACTATTCACTTACCTCCAGGAGTTATCTGCGGCGTGTAAGGTCTTGGAGATGGAGGAATCTTCTGTGAGCAGGAGTTCATGCGGGAACGGCTCGAATAAAACGGATGGACAACTCGGCTTCTATCCTAACCAAACATTTCAAGAGGGACAAGCCTCAATTACGTCTTCCCGAAACATATCGATGTTCAAATTACAGCTTTTATTTTGAATGAGCTTGGCATCAACCTTTGGATCTCCAANCTACCATTCACTTACCTCCAGGAGTTATCTGCGGCGTGTAAGGTCTTGGAGATGGAGGAATCTTCTGTGAGCAGGAGTTCATGCGGGAACGGCTCGAATAAAACGGATGGACAACTCGGCTTCTATCCTAACCAAACATTTCAAGAGGGACAAGCCTTAATTACGTCTCCCCGAGACATATTGATGTTCAAATTACAGCTTTTATTTTGAATGAGCTTGGCATCAACCTTTGGATCTCCAAGGAGACTCCTCTGCCTTTTCGATTATAGTGTAGGAATCGATCCTTCTACATTGCCAAAGAGCCGATCAATTTGAATATCCGGTACGGCACAATCGATCGGACTTGTAATTTGAAAACTACCTGTATACCACCTCTTCATTACCTATTTTCGATTTTGCCCCTCGCCCCTGACAGTAGGGTTCAAGGGCCATCAAACTGATAGCCCGTAATGTTTAAGACTGGGTCTTCTATTAACCACTGAATTGTCCCATGAATGGTGTCGATAACGTTTTCAATTGAATTTTCTTGTAATATTTTCGACTTTTTTTCGAAGACACTTCTGATTTCCACATTGAGTATATGCCCTTTCTTACCTAGTCACCTTTCTGGCAGTTATGACTTTTTTCAAGCTTGCATAACAGAACCCTGGTGAAAGTTAGCTCAACTGACGCTTACTACTTCCAACGCCAGAGGTCCAGCCCTCGTAAAATCCACCTAAGATGTTCGCGCCGGTTCGGATTGAAGGCTGAGCAGCTTTTATGACCCAAAAACGACAACATTCGTCCTGGAGACCATTTAGATTTTAGTCCTCCCATTAAGTTTATGGAACTAGAGCGGTTTTTCATGAGAACATGCTCATCTCATGGATAGGGCTCCTTGAAGCCAGTGCTCCACAGAATGCTCAAAACTAAATGCAATGGTACTGCGCTTCTGGGGTTCCTGTGCATGGAACAACTGGGAGCTGTATGCTTGCCAGCATCAGGAGTTTTTTTTCTCTACTAAGCCTTCCCATTTCCACAGACAAATCACCTATCGAATTATTATC